TCAGCTTTCCTCCTGCAGTCGGCATCATTGCCTCTGTTTTGTGAGGTGGAGGACTTTGTGGACTGGTGTTGGGTTAAAGGGTTAATGTTGGACTTGTGGGCTTGGGCAGCATTGGGTTGTGATGTTTTCGTGATGCACCTTTTCTTTACATAAAACTCTCTTATACGTGAGTCGCCGTGGATTTGTTTCTCCAAAGTACCTAGACTAATACAGGGAGGAAAAAGCAATATCTAATGGGCATATTCTTCATAATTTCATTCATAGAGCCTCATGGATTTGGAGCAAAATCCTGAACAGCAATGCCCCATTCAAAGATGGTTCTGACATTAGGCTCCTGAGTCCCATTCCAGGACTTTGGCCCATAGCTTTTCCCATTCTAGTTATCATCTGGATGCCCCAAATTTTAAGAATCGGGTTTACTCCAGTTATTTCATTGGTCTCGACTGAACTGGTTTCAACTGGTTCAAAGACCTGGTTTCACTATGGCATACATTTGTGCTAGGATAATATTCATGGCGAGGAAAATATTGAGTGATAATTAGAAGGGAACCCAACCCAACCCACAGCTACCAAGTCAATTCCAACTCATGCCGCAGACCAGGTGGGGGAAAAAATGACCACATAATGCTCAAACCAAAATGGTAACTGCAATCCATACAAAGCTAGTTGGCTTAAAAACAAGTAAAGTTAAATAAATAAATTTAAATTCAGTTACTCAGTCACCTTAGGCCCATTTCATGTTCTCACTAGTCACATGTGGTCACCATACACTAGACAGCATAAATATAAAATATAAAATATTTCTGTCACCAGAAAAAGTTCTGACAGTGCTACTCTCAAACACATAAAACTCTTGACCAGAATAGAAAACCCCATCCTTTTTTTGTTGAACAGCAGATCTTGCAGTGAGCAGCCCCAACACGTAACCTCTACAGCACCAGGACCCCAGGGATTCCAGCAGTTCAAATCCAGCAGCCATTCGGAGGGAGCACGATGAGGCCTTCTACTCTCATAATGATTTACAGACTCAGAAACCCACAAGGGCAGTCCTATCCTGCCTACAGGGTGGCTATGAGGCAAAGTCTACTCGATGGCAGAGAATTGGGTTTTTTCATTTTTTTGGTTTTTAATCTAGTAGTATGATCTGTAAATGTTAGCTAGAATTAACCTTATTTTAGCCTAGAAGATAAACTTGACTTACTCTAGGATTTTTAATCTAGGTCAAAGCTTCTGAAACGGTAGGTTGGGACCACACATGGGGTCACATAACTGAATGTGGGATTCTCGAAAAATTTAGCGACAGTAAAAGGTTTCTGAATACACCATGACCAAACACATATTCAAAATCAAATGTGTCATGAATCAGAGATGTTTCTGGCAGCACTTCTCCGAATTTCAAATTTCTCGGGCAAAACGGGGTTGTAAGGGTACAAAGTTTAAGAAGCCCTGAATAGGTGGCCACCAGTCACGGCCACTTCAATCCCATAAGCAGCAAGGAGTCAAACTTTCAGAGGGCCACTTTGGACTTTCCATGGACATCAACGGCAACCACGCAATTCCTCCATCATTTGAGGCCAGCAACACAGGAAGAGGTACCTTCTCCCCAAAAGACGCATTTGTCTTGCAGCTCTCGAGAAGAGGAAAGGCGTCTTGCCCGTGGCTTAACGGGACTCCGAGTTCAACCATATACTTGCAAAGCACACCATCTATATAAGAAGAGCCCCCAAATAAGTCAGTCAGTGGGACAGGCACGTGGACTTGTTTTTCCAGTTGTCTCTAACCATCATAGCTGCTTCCTTAATAATTACGGTAAAATGTCGTCATACCCAATCCCCTGGGAATCACACGCCAGAGGCTAATCAGTGCCTCTACAATCAACTGGCTACGAATCTACACCAAGGGCCTGCAAGCTTCAGGCCAAATTCAGTCACCTCCTTTTAATGTTTTTCTCTGTCAGTAAAGTAAGATTTATTTTTTTACACTTTTTAAAGGATCATTTTATTGAGAGTTCTTACAGCTCTTATAACAATCCATACATCAATTGTATCAAGCATATTGGTACAAATGTTGCCATTATTTTTTTACACTTTTAACTGATTGGAAGAACGTCCTCCAACCAATATTATCCAGCACTAAATGGCCTTGGAGATTCACTTCTGCTAAAGACTTGATCGTGTTTCTTCATTAATTCAACCTAAATTTTTTTTTCAACCTAAATTTTTGAGGCATAAATAACAGCACTTATTTGTGAAACATCTGCAGTAAATTTCAACAACTACCACCATTGAAAACACAAATATCATGTGTTTTGTGAAAACACAAAACACAAAAAACACACATGAAAACATGCCTGATTTACATATCTCCTGAGACAACACAACAAGAACACAATGAGGTATCACTTCAAACCCACGCACTCTCATTGCTATCAGGTCGCTTCTGAACTCATGTTCAAGCGCAACTGCCCCACCGCGTTTCCAAGGCTGGAACTTGTTAGGATAGCAGATTGGGACATCTTTCTTCTGAGGAATGGCTGCTACATTCCTACCATCAACTTTTAGGCTAGCCGCAGAGTGCTTCACCCATTGAGCTACCAGAGCTACTTCCCATCTACCAGAACAGTTCTGACACAAAGATAGACATTAACAAGTATTGCTAAAGAAGAAGAGAAACTGGAACCTTCATATATTGTTGGTGGGAAGATGAGATGTTGCAGTCCGATTTGGTTACGAGTCTGGCAGTTCCTCAAAAAGTTAAACATAAATTTACCATACGACCCTGTAATTCCACCTTGAGATATGTAATTTGCCATATGACCCAGTGATTTCACCCTTAGAGAAATGAAACCATTTGTGCATACAAAGACTTGCATACAATGGTTCTTAACAGCATTATTCACAATAGCCATAAAGGTAGAAGCGTTCCAAACACCAATCAACTGATGGATGGCTACAAAGTGTGGTAGATCCACAAACGGGCATGCTGTACAACAATAAAAAGTAATGAAGTACTAGTACATACTACAGTATAGATGAGCCTCAGAAACAGTAGACTAAATAAAAGAAGTCCAGGCACAAAATATCATATATTGTATTGTTCTATTTCTATACAATGTTATGAATAGACACTTTTATAGAGACACAGAGCAGCTGTTACTATTGAGAATGGGAACTACGATTAAATGCAAATTGACATGGAGGGTTTTTAAATTGATTGATGATGATAGTTGTGTCACTGCAAAGTTTCTAAAAATAAAATCACGGAATTTTTAGAATGCACTTGAAATGGGTACATTTTTGGATATGTAAAATATACTGAAACAATGCCATTATATATATATTTAAAAGCAAGTAAATATGATCGAGTAAGGAGTATATGAAAAATCAGTACTATCTTTACAATTTTCCTATATACCTAAAGCTATTTTAAAAATTTTAAAAAGGTATTAAAGCAAAAAAAAAAAAGACAACAAACATTCTTGGACTGATATCAGTATTTGCCTACTTTTTACACAACTAGGAAGTGGTTTCTAGCTATGTAAAAAGAGATTTTCAAAAATAAAATATGCAAAATTTTACTACAAAATAGAATTAACAGATGAATATTAGGAAGTAATTTTTATAACGAGGAACACAAACTTTTAGCTCCAACTAAGAAAAATGCTATTCTCTCCCCTAAAAAATCCATTTTTAATTTAATATTACAGCATCATTATTATTATCTTTTAATGTCATCAGTAAATAATGATTGGAATTCGCTGTCTTATTACTTGCCTAGATAATATCCTGTACTTTGTCTTTTGGTCTGCAGTTTAAAATATTTTTTGACTCACTATAGAAAATGTCTACCAGCCCCTGCTCTACACCATTATCAAGGATCCATAAATAAACATAAGCAGTCTGTTACTTGAGTATATTCTTATCAGTACCTGATTTGGGCACAGATATACTCTATAAAGAGAGACCATTGCATTTCTGTTGCTATTGCACTCTGAGATTTCCATAAATAGAACCACTGTTACCTTAATAGTTGATATAAAATCACACCATACCACAGGATCTCTAAGACGATTCTCATCCACTTGTGATGCCATCATGACGTGGACTCACCAAGGTCTCTTAGATATCAAGTGGCTCCTGTGGCATCACACCCAGGCGTTGGCATGACCCTGGAACATCACTTTTCAACGGTGTCACATGCTATCAGTGCTGTGACAGAATCCTGCCCTGAGGCCACTCCGCCGAGATATCAGAATAATTACTCCCTACTTCTTTCCAAGCCCGTGGCAGAGGACAAGAGGGGGAGGGTAGCCACAGTCATCAGTAAGAGCTCAAGAGGTAGTTCCTAGCTCCAACCGTTGTCCCTTCCGCCTCGCACTGCAAGTCAAGGCCCCCGGAGGACAGAACATTTAGGATTCCATAATTCTCTTGCCCAGACCCCACACCCGTTCTGTGCTGTTGACTTAATGGGGCACCCCCCCGCCCGGGACTCTTCCACACGATTCCCCCCGGAGCAGCTTCCCCTTACCTGACTCCATTCTCCAGCTGTCATCCTGGGCCAACTCCACCAGCCACTAGACTAAGGCGGCAGTCGCAAGGAACCCTGGGAGTTGTAGTTCAGCGCTGCCAGGGGTCGTGTCTGTGGGAGGAGACAAAGTCACCTCCCCTACCCAGAACCGCTCTTGAACTGCAACTCCCAAAGGCGCCCCACGCTGGGGAAAGAGAAGGCTGTGGATTGGTAGAGCGCTGCCAGCTCTTTTGATTGGCAGAAGGAGCCGGCGACGTGAGGCGGTCCTTGGGCGGACTTCCCAGAGCTCTTGAGGAAAGCGAAATGGAGGGGTGTGTGTCTAACCTGACGGTTTGCAACTTGGCCTACAATGGGAAGCTGGAGGAGTTGAAGGAGAGCATCTTAGCCGATAAATCCCTGGCTACTAGAGCGGACCAGGTAAAGCAGAGGTGGTACCCCTTCCTAGGCGGCGGCGAAGCCATACCGGGCCCTGGTCGAGCTAGGCCCGGTCTGCGAGGTGTCGCCCCCGCCCCCACGCCCCTGCCGTGCCCCTCCCCCCGTCCCTTCGAGATGCCTAACCGGGCCTCTGGAGCTAGTCCACAGGCCTTGGGGGTTTTTAGGCCCAGTACTGAGCTGCGTACATTTGGACGGTTCACGTCGGACCGAGTTTCTCAGCCATGCCCTTAGCTAGTGGAGAGTCCGCGAGGAGGAAGGCTTTTAGTCTGGCCTTCTGAACCTTCACTAGCGGGTTTATTGGACTGAAACACAAGCCTCTCTGGGCCAGGCAGTTTGCTAGGCGGTTGAACGGAAGCAGCCGACAGTAACAACTATCGCGAGCACACGAAATGGTTCCCAGTGGTAGTAACGAGTACTCAGGAGAGAAATTGAGAAGGTGCTTTTTCCGTAACGAGAGACCCTCATTTCCTTTCCTTTTACAGCGTTGGCCTTAATGGCACAGCGCTGCAAAGTACGGAGGGTTTGAACTAGAAGGGTGTGTGGGATTGCCTTGGGATGAATGAGGACTGCAACAGGGACCCCAGAAGCGAATGGGCATTTGAGAAGTGTTAGTATGCTCAAAGGACCTTCCCACTTTCACCCCGAGTTTCTAGAACGTTAAAGGTGACCTCCATAAACCACCAAATAGGAAGGGGCTTTAAAAGGTTCCTTGAAAAACTCCCATTGTCTTTTCATTCCCTTTTCCCACCAACTTTTTGAAGCCCGTTGTGTTTAAAGATTGCCTCCTATTGGGCAGGCCTTGTTCTGAGCACCAGAGACAAATATGCTGGCTCTCCACGTGGTGGTGTTTGGGAAGCTAGTTGGAAACCAGAAAACTTCTCTTTTCTGGAACTTTCCTTTTATTCCTCCTGGAAAATGGCCGCCACTACTACCAGGTGTTCTTTCATGATAGTCTGAATATAGATTGAATAATGATTTACTATTAAGAATAATAATGCCTTGAGAATTTAGTGATTCTGCTGAAAATTGGAGCCATCAAAAAGGGCAGGCTATTCAAATTCAAGAGACTTTTAAGAAACATAATTGCAATTTGGGGGCCTTGCTTGGATCCTAATTTAAGCAAACCATGGCAAAAAAAGACCGTTGGGAGACAATTGAAATCTGAATAGAAACTGGCTATTTGATATTGTAAAGGAGTTAGGTAAATTTTAATATCTAATTAGGAACCGCTAACTATGTAAGGAATTATCTTTATTTTTTTTTCAGGGATGCACACTGAAGTATTTAGGGACAAAGGGTTAAAATATTTGGAATTTGTTGCTAGCAACCTTCAGCAAATAGAAAAAAATTAGAAGATGAGGCAAATATGGCAAAGTTTGAATTCTTTAACTTATGTGTGACAGGCTTAAGAGTTCCTACTATATTCCTTCTGTTACGTGCTTGAATTTTTTTTGTAATCCAAGTCGAAAATAATGCGTTTCAAACATAGGCGTGGCTAAGAAAAGGAGGAGCCCTGACAGTGTAGTGGGTTACTTGGGATGCTGCTAACCTCAAGGTCAGAAGTTTGGACTCCACCGGTCACTCTGCAGGAGAAAGACAAGGCTTTCTGCTCCTGTGAAGATTGCCAGTCTCGGAACCCCCCCTAGGGCAGTGGTTTTCCACCTTCCTAATGCTGCGACCCTTGAATACAGTTCCTCATGTTGTGGTGACACCCCCCCCCCACCATAAAATTATTTTTGTTGCTACCTCATAACTGTAATTTTGCTTCTATTATGAATCAGGCAACCCCTGTGAACGGATCGTTTGACCCCCAAAGGGGTCACGGCCCACAGGTTGAGAATCGCTGCCCTAGGGGCAGTTCTACCCTACTCAGGAGCAATTCGATGGCAATGAGTGAGTTTGGGTGAAGAAATTTACGAGTCTACAAATTGAGAAACATGACTACTAGCTTCTTGCAGACAACAATTGTATTGCACTTCTCAGGCATTGATTTTTTTACACATTGAAGGTTTGTGGCAACCCTGATTGGGGTGACTTGGCACTATTTTCCCTACAGCATGTGCTCACTTCCTATCTCAGTATCACAGTTTGGTCATTATAATATTTCAAACGTTTTCATAATGATATTGTATACTTAATATTGACTACTAAAACCCACTGCCATGGAGTCAGTTCCAACTCATAGAAGCCCCATAGCCAAAAAAAGCCCTATAGGACAGAGTGGGTTTGAAATTGTTGATGGCAGTATTTGTACATGTCCACTTAATATAATGGACCTATGGGCTTGCTATAATGTATGTAAGAGCCCACAATAAAATGATATATTAATTTTAAATAAAGGACAGAGTGGAATGGCTACTTTGGCTTTCTAAGGCTGTAAATATTTACAGGAGCAGCAAGCATCATCTTTCCCATTCGGAGTGGCTGCTGGTTTCGAGCTGCCGACCTTGAAGTTCGAAGCCCAACTTGTAACCTACTGTGCCACCCAAGACTCCAAACTCACTGCCATGGAGTCGATGCTGACTCAAATCAAGCCCTTCCCCCTCCCCTGTGGGTTTCCAAGACTGTAACCGTTTATGAGAGTAGAAAGCCCCCTCTTCTGTGGAGCAGCTGGTAGTTTTTGAACTGCATACCTGGTACCACCAGGGCTCCTTTAGTAAACTGCCAAAAACCTAACCAAACTCACTGCCGTCGTTGGTGCCAACTCAGAGCGACCCTATAAGATAGGGTAGAACTGCCAGTAAGTTTCCAATGCTGTAACTCTTCAGGGAGTAAAAAACTCCGTCTTCCAGAGTGACTGGTGGTTTCAAACTGCTGACCTTTCAGACCTCAGCCCAATGCATGACAACTATGCCACCAGGTCTCCTCTTTAATAGATTGCATTATTTTCTTCCAGTGCATATAAAAGTCAGGTTTAATAGACTGCATGCAGTATAGTATAACTTTTATATGCATTGGAGAAAAATTAGCATGGCTTGCTTTTTGGTGATGATCACTTTATTGCTGTAATGTGGAGCCACACCTGCACTATCCCCAAGCTCTGGCTGGCTGAAGAATGCAGCATGATTTTGTTGCTTGCTCTTCTGTGGGCTGTGCTTTTTTTAAATGGACTTCTGATAGTAACTCAAAAGGAGTTTATTCAACAGAAGATTAAAATGTGAAGCGATTGTTTCTCCACATGTCTTCCCATCTAGGTCTATATACTTCTTCTGAAGGTGGCGTTTCCATCTCTCTAACCCTTTCCTGAAGAATGTTGCTTTCTTTAATTTATGCCACGGCAAAGTGGCAATTTGGGCAACCTCAAGGGACTCAAATCGTATATTCCTTGGGAGTGTTCTTTGAGTTTGGGGAAGAAAAAGGGTGAGGGAAAGTTCCCAATGAGATGCTTAGAGGACGGCACATGCTACTCTCAAAAGAATGAGCAGGTGCGGTGCTGTGGTGGAAAAGAATTCTGTGGGGCAACTCCGCTGTGATCATCCAATGTCTTTGATCAAGATTGTCCCTTTTGAATCTTAAAACAGTCATAACTTTCTGAGCTGACTTCTTGCCTTTGGATTTGACCAGCCATTAGAAGCCACTGTTTGGATTGGGCCTTGCTCTCTGGATTTGTTCATAAAATCATTTGCATTGGTTGCAATCTTGTTTAAAAGACTCGGGTTGATCTTTGCACAGTGCTTTTAGTACCCATTGAGTCTTACACCTGCTGAGGCCAAGATGTTCATTGAAAGTGGAAACTAACCAAACTATTTGAGATGCCAGTTTCATTAGCTATCACTCCAGTGGTGATTCTTGTCTTTTTCCCCCCACCAATTTCTGGACATCAGCTGCAGAGTCTTCATTCGTTGGTGCAGTAAACGGCCTGGGAGGGGGCCCTATCTGATGCCTCTTGCCACAAGACAGGTCAGCTAGGCCTCTACTCTCTATCTTTACCATTTCTAACACCAACCATTCCTCCCAAAGCACTTCTTTGCTGGGTTCAGTCATCCATTGCAATGGCCACGCAGAACTCAGACAATACTCACAATTAAGGGGAGTTAACAGGTTACCACTAGCCAGGATCAGCAAAAAGTAAGGATACAGTCATTGGTCCACAAGCAACACCTCTCCTCAGCCAGCAGCCAAGTCTCACTCTAGTCCTTAGCCTCTCAGCCATGTGGTCCCTTGGCCTAGGCCTCTGTGGGCCAGGAAGCCAGCCCACTGCTCTACTACACAGTCTCATAGTCTCCGTGCTGCTCCTCTGTTCTGTTTCGTGGTCTCCTTGCCTGGTCTCAGCAGTAGACAAGACATCTCCAGTGTGCTCTTCTGAGGGTCCTGGGATTTCCCTCTCTGCTCTGGCTTCATGCTGGTCCTTATGGGGTGGGGGCTGGAGGGGATAATAGGGGTGGTGGTAGCTAAAACCCAAACCAACCAATCCCCTTTGTTAGTATTATGCATGCCTTATTTGCATAATCCCACCCAATCCTTTGGTGGGAGTTAGAGAGACAAGGCTAGAAGAGCCATATTCAGAAATTTCACTTCACAGTTCCCTCCCTTGGCTAGTCTTTGAGATCTTGACTGTCTTTAAAAAACTTGATCCATCTAAAACCTGTTGTTTTCTGTGGGGCAGCAGTCCCATTAACTTCGTGCAAAAAATATCAGTAATTGGGAAAGATGCCTACTTGAGTTTTGTCAAACATTCAATATTAGACCTTACCCCAAATTTTGATTCTCTCCCCATGGCACAAAAAGTATTCCTTTTTTTGGAAAAAAGGTACCCTAAGGAGACTAGACAGAGTATGCTCCTGAGAGAACGTGTCTGTAGTCATCCAGCGATCACAGGGACATGTTTAAGCATGTATTGTTGGTGCATATGAGGACTCGAACCCTAGTCACAATACTTTTTTCATTACCTTCATATATGGTAATGTATATATGTATGTATATACTATATACATATATACATATGTACGTACTATATACATACATAGTATATATGTATGTATATACTATAACGTCTCCACCGGTTTTGTGAGCATTTCATCTCCACAAATGTTTGTTATTTTTAGAAAATCTAAGTTGGGGGTCATTTTAGTAGGAGAAATTTCAAAGTCAGACAGGGATTTAGTGTAGTCCAACTACTCCATGGACTAACTCTAATTATGGACAAATGACTAACCCTGAGAAGCCTTAATTTCCCCATCTATAAGATGGGAATTATTTCTGTTGTATAGGGTCTGCATCTGATGTGCTTTGTCCCCTTTTCTTTTGATGGTAAGAATAAAATATTCAGTCGACTTTTGTTTTGTCTCTGTTTGTGGTGGTTATGTAACACCTTGGGCTACTAGCCTCAAGTTCAGTCAGCAATTTGAAACTACCAGCCCTTCTGTGGGAGAAATATGAGGCTTGCTACTCCCATAAAGTTAGCTTTAGAAACCCACAGGGCTAGTTCTACCCTATCCCGTTGGGTGGCTGTGAGTCTGCATTGCCTCAATGGCAGGGAGTTTTGGTAAGTGAAATTCAGTTGGTTGGGTTTTGTTGTTGTTTTGTCCCCACAAGCATACGTGCTATTTAAAGAGACATAAATAATATAATAAGCAACCAAAGCTCTCTATCAAAGCAGTGAAATCACTTTCAAATTCTTTCGTTGATGTATTTAGCCCAGAGTTCAGCAATGTAATCCCCCCGCACCCCATATTACTAAAACTTGGAAAGCAGGAGACTTCCCTTTTCTTGAATGTTCTTTTCTTACTCAACCCGAAAATAGGCTACATTTACCCTGTTCTGCTTTCATTATGGTCGAGCAAGTTTTAATAATTTCGAATGTGAAGATGTGATGAGACTTGGTTTTTCTCTTATGCCAGTAAGTAAAAGGGTGGAAAGCGGCTTACCTGGCAATGCAGTGTTTTCCATTTCTTGTTTCCAACCTATTAGTGTCTAGGCGTGATTATTTTTCTGCTTTCTTTGTCTTACTTCTGCTTCTCTTCTAGACCATTGATCCTATTGCTTCTGTTTGCTTTGTAGGACAACAGAACACCGTTGCACTGGGCATGTTCCGCGGGACATACCGAAATAGTTGAATTCTTGCTGCAACTTGGAGTGCCAGTGAATGATAAAGATGATGTAAGTATTAGGCAGAATTGATAAAGGCTCAGTTATCTTTAGACTCCAGACTGGGTGTTTGGTTAGCACATAAATGAAAGTCAGAACCTTTATGACTAGGAAGTTACAGCATGACCTTGGTGACCAACACAGACTTACCTGGCACATTATTTTAGAATGGTAGTTTTGCCACTCTGATGTAAGATCAATAGTCTATCGTCTCCTGACCTCGTTTCCCCCTAGCCAAACTATGAAGAAACAGATTTCTAGGAAAAGTGAAGGCTTAATAGAGTTTAATATAAGAGACTTGTATTCATCTGTGTGTGTGTGTGTGTGTGTGTGTGTGTGTGTGAGTGAGAGAGAGAGAGAGAGAGAGAGAGAAAAAGAGAGAGAGAATACTGAATAATCAGCCCTGGTGGCACGCTCAGCTAACTGCAAGATTGGCTGTTCAAATCCATCAGCTGCTCTGTGGGAGAAAAATGAAGCTTTCTATTCCCATAGATGTTTACAGCCTCGGAAGCCCTACACAGAGTTGTTATGAGTCGGAATCAACTCAGTGGCACTGGATTTGGTTTGAGTAATGAGAGACTAGATACCATATTTTGATATATAGAGAAATCTGTCACAGTATTGGTCATTTTAAAATTTGACTGTGAAGGAGGATGGAAAACTTTTTGTTGGTAATGATTCATGAAGCTCACAAACTTCCGATCAGATTATCCCAATTTTGATTTAAAAATTAATGATAATAACAGGTAAAAATAACACGTTAAAATAAGAATGACTGTGTTATAAAAAACTCAAACCAAACTCAGTTGATACCAACTCATAGTGACCTCTAGGACAGAGTAGAACTGCCTCTGTGGGTTTCTGAGACTGCTAACTTCACAGAACCAGAAAGCTTCAGCTTCCTGTGGACCTTGGCAGTTAGCAGCCCGACACATATCCCACTGCCACTGCTTCTTTTTCAGAAATTCTGGTTTCCAAAATGTCTACCATGTTTCATGAGGAAAAAATGAGAAGTGGCTTTTTGCTTTATTTTTTTTGAAATAAAAACATTTGTGCAAAGTTCTTTGTAAACACTGCTTATAAGACTCTCGTTAATACCTGTACCTTTTCTTCCTGGTTTTTGTTTGTCCCACCTCGTACAGGCAGGGTGGTCTCCTCTTCATATTGCTGCTTCTGCTGGCCGGGACGAGATTGTCAAGGCCCTTCTGGGCAAAGGTGCTCAAGTGAATGCTGTCAATCAAAATGGCTGCACTCCCCTGCATTACGCAGCTTCCAAAAACAGGCATGAGGTATGGCCCCACTCCTAGGATGCTGCTTCCAAGGAATCAGCATATACACACGCACAAGTAGATCTTGGCATTTCTGTTGTTCTCCTTCTTTTCCAGATTGCTGTCATGTTATTAGAAGGTGGGGCTAATCCAGATGCTAAGGACCATTTTGAGGCTACAGCATTGCACCGGGCAGCAGCCAAGGGTAACTTGAAGATGATTCATATCCTTCTGTACTACAAAGCATCCACAAATATCCAAGACACTGAGGGTAACACTCCTCTGTAAGTGACCAGTAGCAGTCATTCATTTATATTCTACCTGACACTAGCCCTCAGACCATAATTCCTAACCGTGATTTTATTATTATTATTATTCCGCTTATACATCTAGTACTTGTCTATGGCAAAAAAAAATTGTTTTGGAAAGTACACAAAAATAGAAAGTTCAAATTAAAAATTGCCTATCATTT